CCATTGAATCGTCTCGGGCGCAACACACAACGAACATACATATATTTAATCGTAAGGGGCGGGGAGCGACGGAAATAATCGTCGCCGTACGCTAATAACTCTTTAACGCAGCTGCCCTTATTTTTCGGCCGGCTCGCGTGTCCATTTTATTCCTGCAGCTGCGTTATTTACTATTCCCGATTTACCCGGAAGCTTAGGCTAGATAGCATTCGCGGGCACCGCCGAAACCGACGTTGTCGTTACGAGAGCGACATGACGACCACCGAGGGGTGGAAATCGCAGGAAATCGGTCTCTCGGTCAGCCTCGAATCGAACAGCTTTTTTCCTCTTCTCTCGGGAAAATTAGATCGGCGACCGTTCGACCGAACGCTTTCGCCGATGCGAAAGATTTATCCTCCCTTTATGAACTGGGGAAGATCTTTGGGAAGGTGTCGATCAAAATTCCGTCCCGTTCGGGGATCAGGGGAGGATTAGGACGTCGTGAATATACTTCCGGGACCCGGCCAAGTCCCCGCCGATTATTTCGTTAACGAGACCGGCGTACGCCGGTCGTCGTATTTTACTCGTGTTTTGCAGAAATCGCCGGGGACAATGAAGGGCGTATCGTTTAGCGGATCCGATCGGCGAACGTGGGAACTGGGAAACTTCGAGCCACCGCGCGCGAGCGAGAGAAACAAAGGAAAAGGTGAAAGAACGAGAGAGAGAGGGAGAAAGAGAGTAGCGTCTCCCTGCCTTGCTTCCTTCCTTCCTTCCCGTTCGCCTACTCTCGAAAAAAAGTCCCGCCGAATCGCTTCCAGCCCCGCGAGCCCGAACAATCGAATGCCGCTCTAATTTGCCGGGGACCCCCTCTTGCTCGGAAAGCCCGAGAAAAACTGGGGTACGTGCGCCCTTTTGCGGCTTTTTCAGCGGAAAATCGCGCGCGCGAAAAAACTGTTTCGACGATCACCGACTCCCCTAAGCGCTGTCAGGAACGACAGCGACGAAGTCGTTAGGAAAGCCTGTCGAAACGCGGTCCGCGCTCGACTTGTCGACGCTTTTTTCGCCTGTTAACCGGTGCTTCTGGATCAGGGGAACTCGAAGAGAGAGAGAGAGAGAGAGAGAGAGAGCTGATCTTTTGGTGTCGACGTCTCAAGAACTCCACTGCAGTCGGAATGCAGTTTGATTGCATTCCTTTCGATACGACGGCAAATAAAATTAGGCTCGTTTCCCATCCATCGCTTCGGAAAGATCTTCTTAAAGTGACTCGAGTCGAGCAATCGATCCTTGGATTCACTTGGATCCACTTGGATCCTTGCTTTCGATGCAAACGATCGGACCTCGACGAGACAAATGGACCGGCCGTGCAAGGGTCAATTAGATCACGTTGCTCAAGACACGCTGCTCGGCCAGGAAGATCGCTGTAGACAATTTCAGCAACGGAGAGTCTCTCGACCGTTAATCTCCGATTTCCAAAGGACTGTTAGGTAACGCGGCGCACGGATTTAGCGGGCCGCGATTGCATTGGTTCGCGATGCACGTTCGCAAAGTGGCCCGTTCTCGAGCGAGAGAAAGTCGCCGAGATATACCTAACGAAACGTTGGCGTCGGTGGGTTCGGGTCCGATCTGTTTACCGGCGAGTCTCTCGGATATCTCTGATCTCGCCGGTTATATTCTCCACGGTGGACCCGAATGCCCGGTCCCTCGGCGGCCAGGTAAAAGCCTGTTTCAGCCCGGAAAGCCGCAACTCTGTTGCGTCGGGTCCGGTGTAAAGATTCTTTTCCTGGGAACGGAGGATCCTTGGTTCCGTTCCGCGCGCGCGAGCGAGACCTTCGTCTTCGCAGAAAGGAAGGATCGAGCAATTTCTATTCTACTTTATTTGAAAGCTCGGTGAATCAGCGCGGTGCCCAGCGATTCGAGGAAGTCGACGAGTCGCGTTGAATGGAAGCTTTCTGGAACCGTGTCGCGCCGGAGCGCGTGGACAAACATCGGCGGATCATCAGAAAACGGCTGCAAACGAGGCGGACGTGGAAGGAGAGAGGCCGAGGCTCGCTTCATTGTTTAAGCACGGCGCATCTCGCCACTCGGCCGAGCCATTGACTGGGTTTTAATTACGAGTCAAGAGGTCCCTTGTCTCGGGGTCCTTTGTTCCAGCGTTCGGTGCGGGTACGCGCGTTCTCCTTCCTCCGTCTAAGAATACGCGAGCCTTGCCTCTAATTATGAGCGAGGATATGCGGGGCCTTGTGTTCGCATTCGAAATCCGCCGGCAATAATGAAACCGCTTTATGCCCGATGTAGGGACAGGGATCCCTGCACCATATTCTACCGCGCGCGTATTCTCTTCGGCGCGTGCAAGAGCGCGAGCTTGCACGCGGACCAGCTGTCCCGCATCTAAACGGTCCCAGAGTTACAACGTTCCACGGCATTTGTGCATTTCGCCCGCTAACTCTCTCCGACATCCAGCCTTCGCGAGCCAGCCACCCCTTTGCCAATTACACGCCGTTGAGGACGAGGACCGCTGTCCGCGTCGAGCCGCTCGAGTTTCATCCCTCTCGACCCAGCCGCCTACGCGAGACTGAATCGATTCATCGATCTGCTAGAAGTTCGTATACACGTGATTTTTTGTTTAAACATTAATCGATGCACGTGTTTATCGAACAGGCTTGATCTAGTCCGATGGTCCCAGGACGAAATGTACATTGAGTTTTCGAACGAGTGAACTATGACATTCGAGGGTGAACTATGACATTCGAGCGCGGACCAGTGTCTATCCGGATTATCCTATCGAGCACGATGCGAAATTTATGGCGAAAATGAGCGGATGAAATATAAAATTGCAAAGACGTTGGAAGAATTCAATGACTTTGTTACGCTAATTTTAACTTCTCGAAACGATTAAAGAGAACAATTTATTTTTATTTAATTTCAGTTTCGTACGATCGTCTTTGGAAGTTCTGATTTTGCATAAAGATCCGCGCAGCCTTATGGCAACAATCAGATCACCGTGCTGCGAAATTATTTCTCCTTCTATTAGCCTCTCATTTTTTATGCACTGCCATTCGTTTCGAGTGCTTATTGGAGAATTAACAAAATTATCCATACATAGGGGAACAATACGAGTGTCCACGTACTCGATGGGCTAAAGATTAGGCTAGCGGCCTGGCCACGGGGGACGGAATTGGGCGCCGTATCTGCGAGATCTGACAGGAGAACGCGAGAAGCGGTTTCGCGATGAATTCGAAGCGGAACGAAGATCGAAAGCCCTCTTCGCGGATCGAATATCGATCTTTCGGATCCTGAATGGATCCGTCGAGTGGCCCGGGATCGAAGAATGAGTCGAATCCGTCCGAGTAATCGGACCGTGCGCGATTTCGGGGGAACAAGGAGCGGACGCGAAAGAGCCGGGAGAGTTCCTTGGCACGTGCGGGGGTGTGCACAAAAGAATTCGGCTCTTGCCTCGAGACCCCGGCTCAGCCAAAGGACGGTTACTCCTATTCGAGGTAACGGCCGGAAGATCGTCGTCGCGTGTTCCGCAAAGCTCTCTCGAGCACTCGATCTCGTTACCGACCTTCTCTCTTTTCGGTCGGCGGCTGCGATTCCGTGGGCACGTCGAGACGATAGCTCGACGAGTACATTAGACTGCATCGGAGTGTGTAAACTGGTCGGTTATGTCACCGGCTAGTCGGAATGCATTATCACTGATGCGCAACGGAACTGGACCGCGGATTTGATGCGTTTATGAAAAAAATGTTATTAGAGACCGTTACGTTATTTTCGATCTGGTTCGCTCAATTTCGCGAGAAAATAGTCTCAAACGCGCAACTGGACCGAAACGGTGCATCAAGCGATTTGCGCTTAATAATTTTCAATTTTTTCCAACGAAAAGTTTTACAAAAGTCTCTGTCTATTATCTGAAAAATCTGTTAACCATATTGGATCGAAAGGACGGTTTTATTTTATAAAGTTAACAATTTTATTATTAATATTTACTTATTCGTTTAATATTAATATAAACGCAGGAGAAAAATACTTTGAACATCAATATCGTGAATTATATATACAATTATTCATATTTTTTATTTGTTCGTTTTATTCCGGCCTGCAATCAAAATATTCTAAACATCTTGAAATTTGAGAATATGTTCTTGTTTTCACTGAAATAACAATTTAAACAGCCAATAGTCGCTACTTTTGACGCGCGACGAGTATACTCGTCGTGACAAAAAATACTGCGACTTCCCCATGACGAGTATACTCGTCGAACACAGCTAACTGGATAATAAAATAAATTATTTGCCTCTTATCGTGACGAGTATACTCGTCGAACACAGCCAACTGGTTAATAAAATAAATCGTTCGCCTCTTATCACGACGAGTATACTCGTCGACCACATCCAACTGTTTAACAAAATAAATCGTCCGCCTCTCATTGCAACGAGTATACTCGTCACGACCTAAAACACTACCACTTCCCCATGACGAGTATACTCGTCGACCACAGCCAACTGGTCAACAAAATAAATCGTCCGCCTCTCATTGCAACGAGTGTACTGGTCACAACCCAAAATACCGCCACATCCCCACGACGAGTATACTCGTCAAACACATCTAACTGGTTCAAAGGACAGGGAAGGTATCAGCTTGCCGTGTTCGCCCGTATTGTGGAAATAGATTGCCAAACGCGGAGCTCGAGTATAATGGCCGTGTATCGTATGGAACAATGGAGCCGGGGATCCCATCGAGAGGACAAGGATCCGCAATTGTGTAAGGAAGATGGTATCCCCCCGGATCGTCCCGTTATCGGTACCCGGCATTCCGATCGTCCAGGATCCCGCACACCCACCGGCACACCGGCGATCATCGAGCGTCCACCTGGGGCGAATGGAGTGGCCGGCGTGGTCAGGTCACCGGGTTCTCGAGTAGAGGGGATATAGGTATAGTACGGAGAGTATAGAGAAAGAGAGGGCCAGTCTCTCCCGTTCCGTGGGCTCACCTAGGGACCCTTCGCCGCATAAGGCCCGCGAACGTCGCCCCACCACGTCAGTAGGGAACCAGCCATTCGAGTGCCACGTTCCGACACCTTTCCGTGCCCCCGACACCGGCGGTGTGCTCTGCGCACCTTTGCGCGCTCAGTTCGCAATCGGTTCTCCCGCGAATCTGTTCCCGTGTTTTCTGCTCGCTTTTGCCGTCGCCGTTGTTGTTGTTGTTGTTGTTGTTGTTGTTGCGGCTATCGGATCCGTCGACGCGACCGGCCGGGTGCGCGAATTATGTGCCATCACGTTCGTCGAGCCTGTGACCGGGAAAGTGACTGATATACGGCGCCGGTGCCGATTTTGGATGTACTTGCCGAACCCCGCTCAAGGACACGCAGTGAGTATCCTCCTTGTTCGAGCCGACCGGTACCGGTTCGCCGCGCCGCCGAGATATTCGGAGAAACGGTCCTCCGCCTCGCAACGGGCCAAACGGCCGCCTAATCTTTCGTCAAACCGGTTGTTCTAGAAGTAAACCCCGCGTACTTCAGGAGTCGCTGAAAATGTTCGCTAACGAATCTTGCGGAGAATCGCGTGCATCGGCTTTGCCCGAGACGATGGACGAGTTGATAGATGGACAGACGTTCGTTGTTGCAACAGAGAAAATCGATTTGGTCCGAATAAGCCGGCGACGACTCTTGTACGATTTATCGTCGAAGGACCGACGAGCAGCACGTAGAATGCTTCGGACGTGTTGTTCGCTCGTCTAACGCGCGATTAAGAAGGTTACAGCGAGCTCGAAACGTTTTTAACAGCGTTTCGGGGTCTCATTGGAATTCGGTGTCCTCGAAGTCCCAGTCGCACGAATTCGTGTTTTCTCTCGCGTCCTTCAACGCTGTGTCAATCTCTTTTCTCCGAGAGAATTCTCCGGCAAGAGAGGTTGCATTTTCTGCTTGCCGCTAATGGAAAAGGAAAGGCGCATTGCTCGCGGAGCAACTACATAACGACCGCCCACGCGCGGCCGTTACGTGGCAGCCGCAAGATGAATTGTTTACCGCGGTTATTTCGCCAGCCTCGGGTTTCGTGCTCGGCTGCAATCGACGCTAATGCATAAATTGAAATCAATCGAAGGCGTTCGGGCAGCGGAGCCCGATATCAGCCGGTTCTTGAATTGTTAACGACGCGAATCGATGGCGGCCTGTCTCCTCCCTTCTCCGGCGGGCTGGCCGGGATCGTTTCATGTCTCAATCCTTTTCGGGGTCTCCTCGTTCGCTTTTCCACGATCGATCCGGCCCCCTTCTCGTCGCAGGAAACTGATCGCGAGCGAAACGCCTCCGTGTCGTGCCCACGAATCAATTTCTCGTATCGGGACATTCGAATTATCCACGGTCCGATGGCTTTGTTCGCATTCTGCCGAAGCGTTCGCATGATTTCAGCGATCGTGGCGTAAACGAAACCGGTCGTTGCGTTATCGGTTTGTCGATGTTAACAACTTTCGTTCGAAACATTTCGATTTCTGGTGCTCCGAAACGTTGACATTCCCTATCCGTGTAATTTACATACAGCGTGTTACGTAATTATATTAACACCTGGAGGGAGGTGAGTCCTGAGGTAATTCGAAGCAACTTTTTCCTTTGCAAAAGTTTTCTCCGAGGCATCGTTTACGCGAGTTATTAACAAAAAGCGCTGAGACCAATGAGAGCCGAGCTCGGCCGCTCCGCCTCTCGCCTATGATTGGACACCGTTTTTCCTTAATAACTCGCAAACGAAGCCGCGGATCGCATTTTCGCCAAGGAAAAAGTTACTTCGAATGACCTCAGGAATCTCCCCTTGGTATCAACATAATTATGGAACACCCTGTATATAAAGCTACATGGATACCGTACAGAAAACATCTGACCGCGCAGAATTTGATGAATCGAACTCCAAGTAGGCGTGGTCTAGTGGCCCGCGACATCGGCGTAGTGCCCCACAGAGCAATCTCCGAATACAGAACACGCGTATAAATTATGCGAGAAAGGATGGGCGATTTCGATATGTTTGTCCGAACAATAGCTCTCACGATCGCGACGTTAGAAGCTAGTCTAATTGCAAGGGGTTAGAGCCTCGGCGACGGATAAGGGACCGTAAAGGTGGAAGGAAGGTGGCCCGGGCACATCTGCCAGGGGGAGGGGGAAGGACGGAGGATCGAGAACGAAGGTCGAAAGGGAAACGGATAAGAAGCGGAGGGAAAAAAGCTGAAAGGGACTGGTAACGAAGGAGCCAGTCTGCGAGGCTGGCCGCCGCGCCGGTGGGCCCTATACAAACTTTCCTGTCAAAGCTGGAAGGAGACTCGGTGGGTCCACCTTGGTGTTGGAACCTTTTTTCGAGGATCCCTTCATTTAAATGGCCGCGACGTTTGTTCGCCAGGACTCGTTTCGCTCCATTGTTCCTGCCTTATTTTTCAGGCGCGTCCTGCATGTCCGCCGGCACCCCTTGCTACCCCCGAGGAAAAGGGTAAGCGAGAAACGTGCCCTCGCGACTTCCTTTACAATCCGCAAATTTCCAGTTTAATTTCAATCGACCGACGCTCTACGACCGTTCGCGTTTCCACACGTCCCCCTCCCCCTCTCTCCCATAGGTTCGAACTTCATTCTCCCGTTGTTAACCGATTCTTCCCCGCGCAAGGTGCAACCGCTGCGCCGGACAATGAGGACCGCGTTCCACCGTTGACCATTTCGAACCTGTGATTTTAGGGACCCTGAATGTGTCCGACGTTTCGAATGCCTCGCCAACGACCACAGATTTCATAAGAAAATTTCATAAAAATTTCAACGGCAAAGTAAAGCAGCGCGCATCGATTGCTTCTTCAATACTCTTACGCTTCGCGAATATTAATCGAACATTAGGACATTTCAGTGGATCAGCTTGAAAATCAATTGTCAAATCTGAGTACAGAATTTTCGTCAGCCGTTTCTTTACAGGCCCAGACGATTTCATTGCGTGGTTCTTCTTTTAATTCTACTCATTATCGTGTCGCAACAATCTCTTATATGCACATATGTGTCTGTTTAAATGACATCTCTCTTCCCGAAGGAAAAGCTGCTCGATTCTTAACCCTTGACCTTTAAAATCGCTGGTCTGCGAGACCGCTACTTATCCATCTGTGGTGACGATATAGTCGTAAAAATTATTGTAAATAAAAAAGGGGAACGTTTTTAATACACCTACTTCTATTCGATAAAATTGTCCAAGTTGGACCCGTTCATCATTGACATGTAAAATGAGACCAATCGATTATGACTTTTTATTCGTCACTAATAACGCGGTAAACATAAACAGCCACTGCGGGACCGTTAAGATCGGCTACGTAACTTTTAATAGATGCACTAGCAAAGGGTTAGAAGTCTGTTTAAAAAGCCCCGAGGAACAGCTGTTCGTGTGGACCGCGGACGGTGTTCGCGAGGCGCGGAGCATCCCCGAGCGGGTGAAGCCTTGGGAAAAACGCGTCTGGATGATCCTCGGGGCATCGGTTTTGCAAAATGGCTGGCGGGTTCGGGAGTTTCCAACGGCCTGGGAATAAGAAACAGGAGGAGAAACTACAAAACGGCCGGGGACAGGTGTGCTCCAAATAGGCTCGGGCTGCTTGAAGTCTGTCTTCGCAACGCGTTTCCTCTCCGAGCTTCCTGTCCCTGCTCCGATTCCCCGGATCTCCCTACTACCGATTCCGCTTCCCAGGTTCGATTCTTCGGTCCCGGTCTATCGCCGAAAACCGAGCGCACCGAACCCGTGAATGCGCGTTTGATTGTCCTCGGCTGGCTCTCTTGTGAAATCCCTCCGCTCCCCCCCCCCCCCCCCCCCCCCCCCCCC